GGCCTGCAGTCCTCCAGGGTGATATTCCTTAGCCAGAACTCCCCCCACACCCCACTCACGTGGGGACAGCTTCCCTCCTTTGCAGGAAGCTTGGCCCTCAGAGCTGCCTTGGGCAGGAGAGGCTTTCAAGAAAGGCAGAACTTAGCGTCAGTTTGCCTGGGAGCTGGCTGAAGGTTTAGAAGCCTCAGCCCACAGCCCAAGTTCCCAATCTTGGAGTGGGGGGATGCTGTCTTCCTTAACAGCTCTGTGATTCCTCAGCCAAGGACTGGGGAGAGAGCAGCCCCTCCCCCAGAGCACTGGCAGCGGCCCCACCCCTGAGCAACAGTCTCCAGTGACCTAATTAAGACTCAGGACAGCCGTCCTCCAGGAGTGCCCAGGTGAGCGCAGTGAACCGAGCTCAGAAACTTAATTACACACACCCTGCTCATCAAAAGCTGGGTGGGAACTTCTTCGCTGGGGAAGTCATAGTCCTCCTTAGGGCAAGAGAGCCAGCCCACCATCTGCCTTGGATCAACTTTTCCCAGAGTAAGGCATTGAAAGTAAGTGGCTGTTTGGAGCCCTTGGTGGTGGTGGTGGTGGGCTGCAATCCTCATGGGTAGGTTTGAAACTACCTGCAGCTCCCTTGAGAGAGTTAAGTCTCAGAAACCCACGGGGCGCTGTGCGTTGCACTGACTCCATGGTGAGCAGACCCACACGAGGCGCTGTGCATCACACTGACTCCATGGGGAGCCAGCACCCCGGAAGCTGGAGGCCCCTCCACAGCCATATTTGCCCCCAGTGTAGCCACTGTAACTGCGGTCCTCATCTGTGTCTGGGTCTCTCAAGGTTTGATTGGTAGTCCTGGGTCCCTCCTGTAAGACCCTATTGGGGGACCTGCCAGTGTTGAGTGGCTCCCACCCCTTGGACCTCAGGTTGAAGCCCCAAGGGTCCAGGCATCCCCCCAGGAACCCCATATGCTTTACCTCAACGGGGGTCCTGCTGAACTAGAGGGAAGCTCCAGGGATCGGAGCCACACTGCCCTTGGCCGCACAGCTGCTGCGGGGCTTTGAAGGCTGGCCGCAGCTGTCATGGCCGCGCATCAAACAGTTTGAAAGCCCCGATGAGTGGCCAAGCCTGAGCTAAGCTCCCCAAGCATGCAGTCTGGCTGGGGGTCTCAAGGGCACCCAGGGTCCAGCCGCCCTGATTCCGGAGGGATGAATGACCTCAGGGACAGGTGAGGTGTTGGGGGGTGTGCGCCCTGAAGGCAGAACCCCGATGGCGTGAAGGTGCTGTGTTATGCGTGGCCACCAGGTGGCAGCACCCCATCACCTCCAGGGCCTGACTGCTGGTGGTGAGGGTGGAAAAGTCCCGCCAAGTCTGGGGTCCTGCAGGCACCCAGGGCCTCGGCCCAGGCCTGGAAGTTCTGCATGGGGCTGGGCAGGCCAGGATGTCAAGTTAGCTGGCCTGACAGGTAAGTTGCTGACCAGTTGGTTGTCTATTCCCAAGTACAGACCGCCGCCGCCACCACCCTTCCTCCACACCTCTTATTAAGTTGGGGTTGTCCCCATAAGTCTCAGCCATGGGGCATGGACCAGGCTGGCCCTGTGCACACCAAGTGCTGCAGCCCCTTCACAGTTCTGAGCCAGGAAGATCGTTGCTGCAGTGGGCAAAATGTGTTTTCCTCTCCCTCGCCCTTCACCCACCCCTGTGAGAGTTGACCAGGGATCGGTGGATGCACGGGGCCAGAATCTGTCTTAACCAGATTCCCCCAAGGATCTATGGGAATCATTTGCCGATGATCCTGATTCAGTCTCTCTAGGGTGGGAATGCTACTTCTCAGCAGCTTTCTTGTTGACCTGGGCTCCCGGGCTCCCAGATAGAGACAAGGGGTGCTCACAGGTTCTTTCCCCGGCCACCAGTAGGGTGCGGGCAGGACCTTTGGACTGGGGTTGAGTTCAGAATCCTGTGGTAGGAGGTCCAGCCAGCAGAACTTGCCTGCAGGAAGCATGCCCTGGTCTGCTCTGAGCCCAAAGCCACTGCCTCCACCCGTTGTAAGAGGAAAGGCTGAGAAACAGTCATTACTGACAGTTCTGTTGACGAGTGAAGGCTGAGTGCTCTCATCCAGCGCTTCCCCCAGGCCCCCCCCCCCCATAGGGTTCCTCGTTGTGGGCACAAGCTTAGGTAGGGCTCTGGCAGGACATGTCCGTGATGGATAGGGGTGAGCTTGCCAAGGAAGCCCCAGAGTTCAAGACCCTGAGCAGAAAGACAGGAATGCAGGGAGAGACAACTGCAGACAAAGGAGG